CAGCGGGACCCCGAGTTGGCAGAACACCCCGGGGCAGAGGTGCCCGATTTCCTCCTACATGTGATACCAGAATGGGTCACGCACCGTACATGTTCCCAGAAGCGTATGTGATGGTGAGAGTGGTTGGTAGCGTTAGATCTGGGCTACGTTTGTTTCCAGAAACATTCCCCGTGTGCTCTGCAGAGCCCTTTCTCTTCCCGGGTTCTTTTTGTGGGTGCATGCCCGGATGATTCCCATCATCATCCTTTTCTAACTGTGCCTCTTTGTGGTTTTCTCTTTTCAAGGAGCCTGTCCAAAGATCTCCTCTCCGACTGACATCCAGAGACTTGCCTTCTCCAGCACGCAGCCGATATGATGGGGAAGTCCTTGTTCAGACCCCATGTGTAAACCCACGTTGTCATTTTTTGGAAGTTATTTGGCTATCGCCCTTTTGTTGCTGCCTTCTGAATAACTGTGTAATAAGCTTTGTTGTGGTGCGTGGGAGGATTCTTCATGGATACGCAAATCAGTGAAGTTCATATGTATGTATACGTAGCAGAAGTTACTTTAAATGTGAATTTGCATAGTAATGGTCCGTTAAGCTGATTTTAAAGATTTTTGCCTTCCAGACTGTATGCTCCTGCTTTGAAGCGGGAAAGCCGTGTGCTGTGAAAGGGGACCTGGCTCCTCCTCTCCGTGTGCTGCAGACATCAGCTGTGGTGAGCTCCGTGTCTCTGGCAGTGAAGTTCAGCACTGTGTTTCACTTCTTCGTGACCTCAACTCTTTCTGTCTTTCAAAACCATGTTTTTCTTGAGAAGTTTAGGCCCATTTAATGCTAAAGTTGATAAGAAACTCTTTAAACCCTCCTCCTGGCACGTTGTTTTTGGATTTGTTCCTGTTCCTCATTTTACGATGGTTTATTGCTCGGCACTGAACTGTCAAAATGCCACCAGCGGGGTGTACAAGAACAGTACCGTTACTTTCTATGGCTTTCCTTTGCAAAATAAACCTCTCTTGAAGCAGTGGATTCACAACATGGGCCGGGACATGGGAACACCTTCCAAGCATCAGCGACTGTGTTCGAAGCATTTTGAGGACAGTTCTTTTGAAATTGACCCCTTAAAAATTAGAAAAAACAGACGTCTGCTGAAAGAAGCTGTTCCCAAAAAATTCATTTTGGGTGAAGACGGAAACTGGCTCGTTGGCACACCCCGGAGTTTCTGTGGTGGGATGAGTAATAAAACTCGAAAACGAATCCGGAATCCTGAGCACTTGAGGGTAATTAAGATGTTTGCTATTGTATTTACTTCCCTTAAATTGAAGGAAGATTTGCATGTAGAGCACTTCAAGGAAGCAGCAGTAGGTGAACCATGCTACATGGCAGTGAAATGTTGCCAGCAATGCAGCGGGTTTCGATTTTCTCCCTGGTGTTGCAGAGAGTGGAGGTGGCACTGGGAGGTTGGCGACTGGGGAAATTAAAGGCATCGTGGTGCTCTTTGTGCTCAAATTCCAATTTTGTGCCTAAATGTTAGGGGGAAAATCTGTTTGTTGGAAACGCAGTCCCACGTCATGCTGTAAAATGGATTCGCTCCCTGCAGACCTGTATTTGTGCATGACAGTCCTCACGCTTGGAAAAATTTCCTTTAGAGTCACTGAGATGACTTGTTGGTGGCACGGTGCCCACGGTTTTGGGGCTGAGACAAAGGCTCAACTTCCACTCAACCTTCTCCCCTGTATTTAATTTGGATTGTGATCCCATCTAGTGACAAATTAATGAAACTTAATTCTTTCTCCTGGCAGCGGATTTGTACAATTGGTGCAAGCTGCAAAACACCTGAACCAGTGAGATGTGCGTGCGGTTAAAAGGCAAATTCAAAAAGCATAAAAAGGTCTAGGCTTTTTTTTTAGGTAAAGGTTAAAAAGCATATTCAAAGGTAAGCACATACAAACATGGTACTCTGTAGATATAAAGTACAGACACAAAGTATGTACACAGTATGTACGTATACATTGCAAAAAAAGCAGTATTCGTCTTGCAGTATTTGTAGGGCTTAATTTTTTGTTTGTGTTAACTTTTATTGTTAGGGAAGAACTCTCACAGCCAGATCTGACAGGCTGTGGCACTGCCTCAGGGCTTATTTAAAGTAGACTCTGGATTATTTTCCATTTTCTAGTGAAAGGAAGAGCCAAATTGATTGGGCTGGGTATCGATGGCGACCACAGGTTTCTTTTACCACTCTAATTTTTGACCCAGTTATGCTAGAAAGTCATTGTTTCAGTTGAGTCACATTCTTTTTAAGTAATTTTACTCATTCTGAGCCACGTACAGAAATAACAGTAGAAGATTTGTATATGAAGTCCTTAATGAGTATGCTGGTTATAGGTAACATGGGCATTGCTAGAAACAGCTGGCTGGTGACCACTTGTTTAATAGTGTTTCAAAAAGAAGGCTTTCAAGGATGTACGACTCCGATGGCGCACTGACTATTGAACACTTTGTTTTAGGTCCCTGGGACATTTGATAATGCTGCAGCCCGTGAGGGGAAGGACTTGGAAGATTGGCAGAAAGAACTTTACAAGAAAGTGATAAAGGAGAATTATGAATCTCTAACCTTGTTGGGTAAAGGTCAGTTTTCCCTTTCTCGCTGGAGGCTAACAGATCTCTGCTGCTTCTGGCCTGGGTCTTGTCTAAGAGTCACTCCTCAAATGCCTTGATTTCTAGTGGATTAATCTTTAGATACTTCTGAATCTTTATGAGAGAAGATGAGCTCCACAATCTTTTCATTAAAGACTGAAGGACAGTCACTTTTCTAACGCCTCCACGACTGCTGCCTCCCTGCGCTCTGCTGATGTCAGATACTCGATCTGTGCGCGTAGGTGATACCTCGTCTGCACGATACGGGTAGAACAATAGCGAGTGACGGGGTCTCCCCCGGTAGAGGGGTTTAGGACCTCTGACGGTGCCCCGGTAATGCACGAGCTAACTAAAACAAGGAACAAAGGAGAGTGGAAAAGGCTTAGATAAACAAGCTCAGGAGCTGCGATGACATACGGTATCGTGAATTTGGTGGGCTTGTTAATTATAGTTAAGTTGTGAGTATTTTCACCATCCCCAAATCCTGATGTACGTTGGCTTTTGTGATTCACTAAAGATGCAGAAACAGTTAAATAACATGAATGGTGCCCTAGAAAATGAAGAAGTCTTATTGGTTAGTTTTAAGTGCCCAACTATACATTTGTTTGAAGTAATTTTTTTTTTTTTTAAATTTGAAGGTGTGAGCTTCCACTGGCTCCTCAGCTTTCAGGTGATTCTTTGGATTAATAGAAGAACCTGCTGTAATTAGGGGCTAAAAGTGTTTTTACTTGTCCTGTGGACTGGAGGAACAGAAGTGCTGTGAACCCCAGGAGCCTCAGTTGTCACATACTCTAGTTTGCGCTTTGTGACGCTCTTCAGTTCTGTTTAAGAAACGCTGATTTAGCCTGACCTCATTCTGTTGCTACTTCTGCACTTTCAAATCTGAAATTTCACAAAATAATGAGACAATGCAGTTCCACTTTTTTTTTTATTCTTTACATACCTTCTATTTTTTACAGTAGAGGAGCTAGAGTCTGCAGTCAGCTGCCTCTATTTTTTTTTGTACAGCTCTGATCTGTTAAAAAAGTATGTGCTGTGCATTGCATGAGGAGGGATTAGCTGGGGGAAAATAAGTTCGCGTATCAGAAAGACAGTTAGGACTGAATCCTAACACACAGCACCAGACAGCTGAATTAATTACGCTTTTATGGCTGTAATCAATTTGAGACCTTCCACTTCTGAACATTTAACTTTTCAATCTTTTGGATATAATTTCTGGAATATTCTAAAAATTGGAAAACAAATATTGCTCGACTGCTTCCCAGCCACCCTCTCTGGATGCCAGAGCAGCTGCGTTTGCTGTTACCTCCGGTTTGGGCCTTTCCCCGGCGTAAAAGAGAGAGTGGGTTATGCGGGTATTTGCTAGAAAACAGCATCGCAAAATCTTTTCTTATAGTTCTAGGAACAACTAGAAAATTGTTGTTCTTTGAGAAAGCAAAAGGCAGTATTTTTCATGTAAATTAACAAAAATTAGTCATGTTACAAAAAAAGGGCATAAGTAAACTACAGGGCTCAGAGAGGTAAAGCGAACGGGCTGAAAAAAGCTATCTTCTGCACTGGTCTTTGTGCAACGTATCCTTTGTCTACATCAATACAATTAAAGTAGGCTAGGAAATATCTTTGTAATAATGGGGAAAAAAACAGAGGAAAATGATAACCATCACTTCCATGTTCTGTTCCTTGTGCAGATTGTCCTGTTCCCAAAAGCAATATCCAGGCAAGGGAAGCGCTGCATGTCAAGGATCAGCAGGATTTTGAGGAAAGGGAGATTCCCGCAAGTCGTAGCGCAGGTGTGTGGTGGTCTGAGTCGCGTCAAGACATTAAATTGGCAACACGTTGAAACTGCACGGGCTTGTAGGGTTAGAGGGAGGGGGGATTCTAGTGCATCCCTGCTTTTTTACCCAAAGCTTTTTTTCTTTGTATGGATGTAGCCATGGTGAATCAGGAATTGCTGTTCTTTGGAGATTTATGTTAGATCACGTCACATAAAGGGAACGTTTGGAATCTCTGTTCCAGGCTGCGGTGGTACTGTGATCAGATCCGAGTTGCAGAGTCACGCAAAGAGTTCAGAAAACACAGAACTGCATGGATCATTCTCAGGAGGATTCCGAGACCTAACTTGCCAAATTTCGGACAAGGGTGTAATGCCTGAGAGTCATCAGAATTCAGCAACAGATCAGGCAAATCCAACGGGAAGCAGAAGAGGCAGCAGCTGTCTTCAGGAAGGAGAATCTAATGAATTCAAAGAGATCCTTTTTTATCAGCAAACCCGGGCAGGAGAAAGACTGTATCTGTGTACAGAATGTCAGAAGACTTTTAAACTGAAAATTGGACTTCTGAAACATAAGCAAATTCACACCAAAAAGAATCAGGTGTCATCGTACATCTGCACGGACTGCGGTAAAAGCTTTGGTCGCTATGCAGACTTGATTCGACACCAGAGAACTCACACAGGGGAGAGGCCTTACAAGTGCACGGAATGTGAAAAAAGTTTTATGGAAAAACCGAGACTCACTAATCACTTGCGAACTCATAACATGTACATGTAATCGGTGTGCCAGAAGCTTTCCTGGGATAGATTTTCTATTCAGTTATCAAAAAATCCCTCTCCATGAAGAGATGATGGCTTATAGTCGTATAATGATTATAGGGGAAGCTTTAGGATAAGACGGTTTTACTAAACTGAATCAAGTTCAAGCATGAAAGGCATCTGGTTGGTGCCAGCCTAATAGTCATTGATTAGGAGCTGATTTTAATTAGCGGCTGGATGATTCAGATCTGGGAGGAGGAGATGTACAGACCAGCATTGACTGTACCAAAAGCATTGTTAAAAAACTCTTCTGGTGCACCAAACAGCGCACGCTGGAGAATGTCTGTATTAACGCAGAGAAATGCTGGGAGTGTTTCAGGTATGAGAAAACGTCACGATCAGAACAGGATTGTCCGCAGAGCTGTAAGCAGGAAATGGAGCTGCTGAGAGCGTAGGTTAAGGTGAATGGTTGGGTTTGATGTAAAAATAGCAACCAAAAAAAGAGTCAGTTCAGCAGTGACAGTCATAGGACAGCAGCGGTGGCAGTGAAAGCACTGTCGCATGGAAATAATGACCAGAATCAGTTGCTTCAAACATCTATTTGCTGGGGGCGAGATGCCAATTTAATTTCTGAGATTCTGGAAAAGAGTATTGGTATATTCTTAATGTATGTGCAAAGTATAGGTAACATTCCTCTGTAAACTAAAAGGACAGCAGTGCCTTCAGCGACAGGAACAAGATCCGCAGACGGGAGGGGAGTCCTGCAGAGGCAGTGTTTGTAGATCACGCGTCTTCTTTTGCAGGCTGGTGATATTCAGCATTTTTGCTTATTCCAGTTGAGTGCAAAGAGTGAAAAAGTCGCGTTACCTCCGGTTCAGGCACCTGCTTTGCAGGGAGCTCGTGAGCGAAGTCGATGTCCTCAGCTTCCCGTGAGGAGCAGGAGAGCAAGAAACAGCTGGTGCTGTGGTGGAGTTCGATAACTTCTGAAGGGGATTGGGGGAATACGCTTGGCCCCAAGGGATCCTTGCCCATCCCAAATATGGGAGTAATGTCCAGAAAACTCTTTTATCACTGGCTTCTCATTATTTCCTTCTCATAATTGCCCTGGGGACAGCTTTTCTTTTATTCTTCTCCCATGCAGCTTAATGCCTTAGTGGTCACAAGTACGCTGTGTGCTCCTGAATGAGGATTCTTTGGAGCGAGGCGATTCCTTGTGGAGCAAATCCTGTAAAACACTGTCCTACTGTAACTGCGGTTCCCTCGGTGAAACAGTTGAACACCTGGAGTAGCAGGGCTGAATCTAGCCTGTGGTCGTGCGTCTGCAACGGTTCGTTCCGGAGCTGCTGAAAGTAAATCCTGGATGAAAGACCTCGTGTAGGAAGCTCTGCCTCTCCCCACTTGCAAGCACAGAGCTCAGGAGCATCCCACCAGGCAGAGACGGTCGCTTAAATCTGAGACTTTGTATGCACTGAAATACAAATAATCACCTTGTTTAGAGGTTTAAGTGGAGGCAGAGATTAAATGGAATTAGAGAGGGAAAGCCACGCAGGCAGTGTGGCTATCCGAAATGACGACAGCGTGTAGTGTTTCACTTGCTCAAAATGCTGAGCGAACCTTAAACGACAAAATTAAGCAAAAATGTTGAAGAGGTTCAGTAATAAAACGAGGCGTCTCCCATGTGAGAAGCACTGAAAGATGAGCTCCTTGGGTTAGCAGTGGCCATAGTGAGGGCGAAAACAGCTGGAGGAGTCGTGGTTGCTGTAAAGCGTATTCCGTGGTCCTGTTTGAACGGTCAAAGTTCAGACGTGCGGGGAAATCCAGAGTCGGGCGTGTTGAAACAGCTTGTGTCCTGAGAAATGAGCCGCAGAACCGGGAAGAGACGCTGTATCTATGATTTGGTGAAAACTTTTGTGTCCGTTTTCTTTCGCCTGTAAGCAGAAGGGCTCTGGTGTGGCAGGTGGATTTCTCCCAACATCCCGACCCTCTCGCCTGAAACTCGGAGAAATGCAACTTCTTACAGTGTCTCCCTGCACCACCTTGGTGAAGCGTTCTCTGCCTAGGATACAAAAAGTGCAGAGATGTTAATACGGAGATCCAGCTTAAAAAAGATAAGTTTTGTTGGTTTTGTTTCTAATACAGACCTTCCCTCCCGTTCCACTGATGCTGGTAGGAATTTTGCCTTGATTGAGCCTCGGCTTAGCCCAGAATGATTAAACAAATAGTTTATGTGTGAGAATAATCATTCCCTCCACGTGTTGCTGTTATACTGTTATAAACTTCAAAAATAGTTTTTTCTGAAGCTATATTTAAACATTGTGTTTCCAGTCTCCATGGAAAAATAACACTAAAACATAAAACATTAAAGATTTACGCCCAGTGCTAAGGGACGTGAAACGTTAACGCACAGAGGTTACTCGGGGCATTTCTGTTCCTTCTATATCCAAGGAGCGATTCACTGTAGAGCGAAGCGGCCCTTTTCCAGAAGACCCGAGGGGTGCGATGCCCTCCCGCGGGTCTGCTTTACAGTGCATCTCTTTGGGTGGCTTGTGTTACGTTGCAGCGTTGTCCCCCTTGTCACCATACCTTGTCACATACGAATATGCCGCTTAAATTTTAAAAAAAAAAAAAAAAAAAAAAAAAAAAAAAGAGAGTAGCATAGGGTAAGCATCAGAAAGCGCAGCGAGATACGTGATTATCCCAGCCCAAAGCTTAGGCTAAAGGAGAACAGAACAAACTTGACTGAAGTAGGGTAAGAAATCGGGTGATCCCTTAGTGCGGTGTCTGCTGGGGTGTTTGGGAAGGCGAGGTGGGAAACAAGTGGAAGAGATGTGGAAACTCGCCATTCCCTGCCCGAGGCTTTTCACAGAATCACGAGATTCTCTCAGTTGCTCTCTGGGAAACTTTGGTTTAGTTCTTTTGTAGCAGGGAGAGTAAGAGTTTTAAGAGTTTTTCATAGACTGTGTTACCTAATAAGAAACCTAAGCTGAGAATCCATGTACTTGCCTTGAGAAAATGTTCACGCATTGGGAAATACAAGAAACTGCATAAACTCTTGGGTTTGTGCAGTCAGAGGGAAAAAAGTCACATCTTTAGCGAGATAGGTTTTCTTTAAAGAGAATTTCCAACACATTTATTTATTTGTTTATTTTTAAAAAGCTTTAGGTCATGTTTAATCTGCAAATGTAAAACTCGCCCTGCTACGTACCACCTTGTCAGGAGTAGCGGTGACAGAAACACATCTGAGAATAAAACATTTTTTGGTTTAAGAGCCCTTATGTTTTCTAAACGGCAGAAACAAGGTCGGATGTAGCACATGAGGCTTTTCTGCCCTTTCTGTTTTAATTATGCTTTATGGATTGCCATCTGAAGTGTCCTCTCCCATTCTGTTCTCTTCAGTTTGCAAATTAAGAGGTCTGCCATTTCATGATTAATGTTAAGATTATTTCTTTCTAAAGTTTCTCTGTACTTCTCTCTCTCTCCACTGACCCCTTCAGACGAAGAGTCTTGTCTTGCGTCTTCGATCGGAGCCTCGTGGGCTGCGGGTGCTGCCGTGATGCAAATAAACACAAAACTACAGAAACTGAGGTCTTGTACAAGCACTTTCTGGAAAGAGATTGTCTTCCCTTCTCAATGTGGCTTTTTAGTAAAAGCAATCAAAAAAAAAAAAAACCCCTTTCCCAGAAAGCTCCATCTGCTTTTGTCTGGGTTTGGCCTTATCTTGTTTATTGTGCATAATTTCATCTCTGTTCTATTCTATTCCAAGCGGATCTGGGCTGTGCCCACGCGTTGCACACCCCAGGCGCTTCCCGCTGCCCCAGTTTGGAGGCAGAACTGGAAACGGTTTTGTGGAGGGTGCCTGGGAGACATCAAGTGAAACCGGTAAGCGGTTCAAAGCGAAGGGAAGGCGATGGTTCTTCACGCGGCGGTTAGTTACTGCAAGATGCTGCAGGTGCAGGGACTTTACGCTGGTTCGGAATCAGCTGGGTAAATTCCCAGAAGAAAAAAATTGATAGAAACTCTTAAATATGCATCGGACCACACTTTTAATTCCCCCTTTTAATTCCAAAGAGCGGGGTCTTTAGTAAATGCTGTCCTGGGTGATCAAAGCTTCCCTTGGGGGGGCTTGGCATTCCCAGGGAACTATTACCTGCGTGGTGAGAGACATTTGAAAAATCTCAGGGATAAAACAAGGAAACCCTGCCTGAGCTGACACCAGCTGAATCCATGGCCGAGAAAAAGAAACCCCCAGGTCCCAGCAGATATTTTACATTTCTTCCCAGTGTCCCCAGCACAAGAACTGGTGTGCTCTGGCAGCGGACGAGCACTGGCTCAGCACCGGTTCCGGGCGCAGGGAGTCTCCGAGCCGGCTGAGCCATCGTGGGCAGCGCTGCCTGCTGCTGCCTGCCTCTTGATTTAACCTGCGGTTTTATACGGCGCGGGAGCAGCCGTAACCTCAAATCTCACCGAAACCATGTGCCAGCGAGAGGTCTCGTGGGAGAAGAGGCTAAAACGAGGGGCTCGCTGCCCTGGGCGTGGGACGCTGGGTGCCCCGGCCCCCCCTGCACCGACCTTCTGCAGGGTCCAGGGAGCCTTTTTGGCCCTGTGCCTCACAGCGGTGGCCTTGCCTGCTGGGTGTACTTAAACGTGGCAGGGGAAACTCAGAGGCACAAACCCGCTGCAAGCAGGGAGGGATCTCGGCAGCC